GCCCTGCCCACAACACCAAAATGGTTTAATTTCAGTCTGAGTCCATAACTCTGAAAATATGTTTTATGGCTTTTTTAAACTGTTGTGCTTGTATTCATGCTTTAATGCGTTTTAATGCAGAATGCATGCTCCAAGTATTTGCATGCAATTCAGTATTGTTTGGTCAGGAGTGACTGTCACATGCACACCTTTGTCTTTGCTTTATGCAAACTCTCGGCAACAGGTGCACGAACTGAGCCCCACAGGGACATAAACATATGAGGTGCCATTTAAAGACAAAAGCAACCACAGAATAAACCCACAGGGCTTCACTCATACCTCTACGTTTGATAAGGACCCATCTGCAGATGTCGCACGTGGCCAGGCTAAAATTGTCAAGTCGCTTTTGAACTTGGATGCCCCACTTAAAATGTATCACCTAATCATGCGCCACGCTAAGTAATGTCAGTTGTGCTTCGTGCATGTGCTGAGGTCTGAAAGAGTGGGAGAGTCTTGCAGCTGACGGGTCTTTCAGAGGGAATCGGGGCGCAGGGCCATGTAGCTGCAGCTGCCGCCTCTGTGTACGCTCTTTGATGGCGAGAGGCGATGGCGTTGACTTCCACACCCACAGCTACACACACTCACAAAATACACAAAGGCTCATTTTCTCCTCTGTTGTTTGAACTTTACTTTCTGGTCCCCTGAGGGGTGCATTGCATGCATAGGGAGGGCATGTTTTGTGCATTTGTTTATTATAATGCACAGCTTTGAAATCATATGCAGTGTGAGAGGAGGCTGTGTGAGCTGCATCCTTGTAAGTTCAGTGACTGTAGCAGTTGGTGTCACAGTCCAAGTCATTTGTTAGTGGAGTTTGGAATAGAAGCAAGGGGACACCCATGATGCGGACGCACTTATTGCAAACACCCACACCCACATAGACCTAACATGCATACACACAAATACAGCCACCCATTGTTTAACCAGTCTAACAGACTGAGAGCTCTCAACCGTTACTCTGTTTATAGTTTGTTTATCTAGCAAAGATAGCCCTCCCACCTGCTCCTTATCTGGACAGTGCACACGCACACTTGGAACGTGCTAAAAAACCTGACATCACCTGATTTTTGTGGTTTTGTTTTGCATGGCGACAAAAAGGTTTGTGAATGACATCAACATACTTTGGTAAGATTATCCTCATTTGCTGTTTTTTTCCCTTTTCCTTCTTGTGTGTGTTGTAGGTTTGGATGACAGCTTGCAGCAGTACGTTAGCAACTTTGAGCGGGAGAAGATCAGTGGCGAGCAGCTGCTGAAGATCACACATCAGGACCTGGAAGAGCTCGGCGTTGCCAGGATTGGCCACCAGGAGCTGGTGCTGGAGGCTGTCGACCTGCTATGCGCTCTGGTCAGTAGATCTGTTTCTGGTTGAATCTATGTGAGGATTTTATAGGCTGTACCTCAGGAAGGCTCTGTTGGTCCCTGACCCTCCCCCCGCGCTCTCATTCACTAAAAACTCAACTGGTAGTTTCTGGTCTGCCAGCTAAAGGAACTAGCGATGCAGAAGAGCTCATCGTTTCCCACACATCTCAGCAGGGTGTGGACGCATCGCGACACATGAAGCAGCCTGAGGACACTGGAGAAGAGCAGGTCACAGGTGTCACAGCTGTGTGGCAGTTTGTAGATGTGGGAGATAACAGAAGCTGATCCTAATGGGCAACATGTAGCTAGCAGTGGCAGTTAGATGTGTTTGACAGATAAAATAAGAAGCTCCTCCTCCTTTCTCGCTATATGTGCACCAAATACATACGTACTTAAGCTGTTTGTTCATCAGTCTCAAAGGAAATGAAAAGTTGGTTTCGTGCTTACTCCTGCAATCATCTTCACTCCTAATTCCATGCTGAATCTCTCCCAGTTCAGTATCAAAATCCCATGTTTGGCTCCTCTTGCTCACTTTGAGTCACGCTGATCTGCTGTCCATCACCACAGATCCCAGAACAGCTTCCAGCTAAAATGTGTCTGCCTGAGACCTGCAGGCGAGTAAAGAGTGATGAAACCTTCCGCGCTCCAGCTGAAAGAGAAACAGGTTCTCCAGCAGATGGGATCGATTTGGAGTTTTATCACTTCCTGTGCCATAAAAGTCCAAGCTTGTGGTCCCCGCGTTTTGATCAGTGTCAGCATTTCTGTGCGCTCTTAAAACACTTTACATTAATCATTTGTGGCATGGTTATTTTTGCTCAAAGCTATTTAAATGTTAAATCTTTCTTCTACTGCATGAGGCGGAATGGAAAATTGTGGGTAGAATAGATTTGGAGCTACTTTTACTTTTTTTTTTTTTTTCTTAGCGCACAAAAGCCACATTTGAGTTCTCGTGCATTCTTAATAAAGCAAGTGTACGTGCGCTTAGCTTGGATCTTATTATCGTTCCTTAGCTTCTTTGCATTGGAATAGAGTCACATGAACTGAGCTATTAATATACACAATCTACAGGAAGGACGCTGAAGTATCTAATCTCATGTCCTACCTGTCTATTTATCAGTTTAATTGTGAGTGATATGCAAAATATGTTAATCTCTTCCCTTTGACACAGTTTTTGACAGTTTTTCCATCAATGCACGATAAGCTCCTGCCTCCTATCAGTGCTCTACCTGTAGTCACCACACTGAACAGATGGAAGCATTCAGCACGTATTCATTGGGGGTTTTTTTTTTTTATTGGATTTATTTATCATAAAATTTGCACCATGTGTTGCACTATCCCAGTAACCAGGCCCAGATTTGGATTCATCCCTGGAATCTTTTGCATTGACAAAGTGGAATCTCAAGTGCTTTTGCTCTAAGATTTACGGTAAAACATGCTGCCAGTTTGTGCTTTGGTAGTTGGTGCACTGTCCTTAACCTTTCACCCCTGATTGAAGCCTTGAAGTATAATGTTTTTTGTCCGTTTGGGGTTTCCCTATTAAGAAGCGGGCCTCAACCTTCCACTGGGCTCATGGGAGGAAGTGAGGCCCCCGATTCAATTAGCTTTTACTCAAGGTCACTGCTACTCACAGGAACGCAGCCCAGCAGCACCCGAAACCCCCACACACTCTCACACTTTCTCACACTTTCTCCCCTTTTTTTCTTTTTTAAATTTACTGGGAGGTCAGACACTTCCTGTTGACGTAGAGGCCCTTTGCTGCAAGGCTTTGCTCTCGCTTTTTAAATGTTTATGCATGTGTGCACATCTTTGTCTCGTTAATAGTTACAAACCTAAATCATGATGAAAGATGAGCTAACATACAGCGCTGCAAACCTTTAGGAAGCATTCGTACTCGTCCTCCATCCGTGCAAAGGAGATCAAGACCAAACTGCTGTCTAGAGACAAAGAAAGAACACATCAATTCATTTTACTGGTCTTCTCACGAGCCTTGATGCTTTCTGCAGAGTCGGTGCTGAAACTCAACACTTCTATCATCACATAAGCATTAGCTGCAGCCATTGAACACGGCTTCATCATGGGCCTGCGGCAAATGTTTGTACTATTGCTTAAAGATATGTCCTTTATAGTCAAGTCTGAGGGGAGGAAGCACCGTGTTGTGATAACAGTTCTTGATTTCTCCTGAGGAGCCTAAAGTCAGCGAATAACGTCTTCAAAGAGCCCCAGAAAGGCCTTACTTCAAAAATAAAATCTGCCATCTTGGTTTTTATTTAGCTTGGTGTGGCGAAAAAGGACACTGCAAGAATGTAAATTTGACTTGAAATGTTGTGAGGATGAAAAATGGGTTGAGTGAAAACGCAGATTTTGCTCAGACGTGGTTTTTAGCTCAGCGGACATCTGTGGGCCAGTCAGCGACGGTGTGATTAGCCTGCTAATGAAAAAGCCACGCTGCCTTGGTGCTAAAGTTACACCGAATGAGAATAAAACCACCAAGTGACTTTTCTCTCTTTTTTCACATATTCCTTGATCATGTTTGCATTTCCTTAATGGTGTTTCAACAAACCATTTCATGCCAAGTGTGGCGTGAATAATGCTGCCTTCAGCTACTGTTTGACTAGTCTGATTATTCCAGTGTGTCCCCGGAGACTAAAACTGGTCAAATGTATGTTTTTGAGCCCATGTTGGCGAGGGGCGGTGGAATAAAAGGAGACGCTAACCACTTGCAGATCTCGTTTGTTGGTTGCCAAACACGTGCCGTGTTACTCCTTGCAAAGCATATTTAGCTCCTGGCATGTCACTCAGAGTGCAGCGTTTGCTGGCAGCGATGCAACATCCTGTAAGCTGATATTTACCAGGACAAGAGCCAGGCTGCCCTTCTACTGCGTACATATGGAAAAAACACATTATTCCAATTTCTCAGCTGCAAGAATGCAAAAGTTTAAACACTGCCGACTCTGATAAAAGGTGAATTCTGTTGCTGCCCAGGTTTCCTGCAGCAGCTCACTTCACAGCTGGTTTATAGTGTACTCCCTGATCTTTGAGACCGGCATACATTCCTCTTCTAAATAAGAGGAATGTATGCAGGAAACAGCTTAGACTTAGGAATGAAAACTTCACACCGCTTGATAAGAATCAGGTGATGGCACAAGTACTCACACCCCAGAACAAATCTAGAGCTGGGTGGGAGTGATGTCTTGTTCACGATGTTCACAGACAAGTGAACTCAAAGCATATCTGTCAAATCAATGATTACAGCCTTTCAGTGGACGGGACACAACTTGTTTTGACAGGGTGGGACCATAAGCCTCGCAGGTAGACTATGTAGAAGGATTGATGACGAGTGTGCTCTTAAACCGTTCTGTTATGTTTAATTTGCTGTTTCAGAACTACGGAGTGGAGTCGGATAACTTGAAGAATCTGGTAGTGAGGATGAGAGCTGCCACCAACAGTCTGCACATGGCCACGGCCGACCGCAGGAAAAGCCCCGCCTACGATGGAAGCGCCTCGCGAAAGCCACCTAACGATTTTCTTACCTCCGTGGTGGAGCTGATCGGTGCTGCAAAGAGCCTCCTGGCGTGGCTCGACAGGTAACACTTTGTCACGGCCTTAATGAGAGGCGGAAGTGTCACGTTCGATCACACTAGTTTGAAATAAAGATGCAATTTGATATTCAAAAAAACGAGTCTGTTTATGATCAGACATAAGAGTTCGTTTTCAGCATTATAAAGACCTTTTGCATGTCAGCTTATCGTTATATCCAGCTGGCAGAGTGTCCTGTGCGCTCCTGTTGACCTGCTCCAAAACACATTACGCCATAAAAGCCGAGCATATTAAGCAGGTTGCCAGGATTAAGTGTTAGCTGGCTCAAATTAAGCTTCTCCTTTTTATGACAGGCTTGGCTAAAGTGGTGCATTGATGTCATTGTTTAAATGGTTGTTGTGATGCTGAAGTGCAAGCAGAGCCAAAGAAAATTTATGGTTCAGGTTTGTAGGTCATTAGGCTTCTCTGACTCTAATAATAATGTATTTGTACAGCACATTAGCTCAGCAAACAAGTCTTTGCACATTTGGTATTAGATCTGTTTCTGGTCAGACGGCAGTTTAATGATTTTGCATCAAGTTTCTTGTTTATTAACAATAAAAATATATAGAGACGTATTTCTGGCACACAAATAAAGTAATCCTTATTTTTTTGTGCTACTGGCCAGTAAGTGCTATTTGTTTCAAGATTTGTAATATAGTCAGACATATTCCAAGGACTACAAACTGGTTTTTGAAGCACATGTTTCAGATAGAGTGAGGTGAGAAAAAGACAGAAAAGTATAAGCTGGCACCAGAGTGGTTGCATACTTGAGAAACGAGTAACAAGCCTGTCGGTGGCCAAACACAGCAATCTGAGCGAGTACAATAAACTTGAGCTCATCTCTGCAGTCCATCGCTTGTTTCCAATGTTCTCTCTTTCCTCCTTTGTCTGCTCGCAGGACGCCTCTTACAGGGATCAGTGACTTCACAGCCACCAAGAACAAGATCATTCAGCTGTGCCTGGAGCTCACCACCACAGTTCAGCAGGTCTGCATGCTAGTTAGTTCAGCAGAAACACACACACACACAATAGCTTTTTTCCACTGAGCACATACCAGCTCAGGGGCACAGATGTGTAGGAGAAGAGTGTTATGGGAAATGTGGTCTGGCAGCCATGACATGAGCCTGAAGCCAGCAGTCTGAGCACATTATTGCAAATGCTGCTGTTTTTCTTGGGATCTTTTCCTCCACGTGCTGGCTAATGAGGAGACCCCCTCGGTGTGGGGACGTTTAATGGTAAACGTTGCTTTTGTGCTTCCAGTTTCATAAAACCCACTAGCGCTCTTTTAGAGGTGGCTGCCAACATTCCCCGGGCTGCTGTACTCCTTCGGGCCATGTGGTTCCTGTTTTTGCTTCTCCGAGATGCTCACAGTGGGAGACCAAACTGTCTGGAAGCATTTCCTGTGTGTAGGTTTAGTGGAAAGATTGAGGAGGTGGTCCTTCAGACCGCTGGAAAGATGGCTAACAGATAGCGCAGAGCACCGGCAACCACCCTTTTATATTTCTGCAGAGGGTTGCTCTTGAATTGCATCAGTATAGTTATTCCTGCTTCTGCCAGTTTCATGAAACCAGTAGTGGTTGCTCATGCATATGGGGAAGACTTTATTTGACTGGGTTTTCTTTCCTATCAATTCATCCGCTTGTCTTTTATCCCTCAAGGGTTATCCCGATAAGAAACTCATTTTACGCTGCCAGCGAAAGTGGCTCCTGAGAGTGCAGGTGTCATTTTTTTCAGAAGGTTATTGCATCAAAATAAATTCCTTTCCCAGAGTGCCTATTTCCTCGCCAGAGTCTGGGATTTCAGCGCCTCTGGTGATTTACTGTGGGTGTATCGGTCATGGTCATCCAGGAGGAGTGGGGGTATCCATTTCTCACACTGCCATGTGAAGTGGAGAGGTTATGGTGGAGAATAAACTTCTGATAGGTGCTGAAAGGTTCTTGTAAGGCTTGAGAGATTAGCTTCCTCTCGCAGCTGGAGAGACATGCCGTTCGACTTGCTAGTTTTAAGCCAGCTCGCAGCAGCTGATGAGGATGGGCGATTTCCAACTAATCCCATGATTCGAGTTTATAAAAAAGCAGAGAAATCCTCGTTTCATTTCCGATTTGTCTGAATCGTTTGGATTCCTTGTTTCTTTAGAGCAAGTGGGCTAGCATGGAAAGCACTGGTTAATAAAATGAGTTGCACAGGAGTCTGCCACGGTGATTAGTTTTATGATGGGGGAGGACGGCATGAGGTTTGCCCAGAAATCGGGGCTTTTTGAGGTCGCACTTTGTGTTCTGCCTGAATGAAGCCTGTGTTTGCACACACAATGGGACAAGGCCATAAAACACTGGATGCATCGTCCTTCTTGGCTGACCCGTCAGCGTGGAGGTCACTCTCTGTCAAAGTATGCATTTTTCATCAATCCCGCGTGTCTTTAGTTTACGCTTCCCGCTGGATGACGAAGGAAGTTCAACTCTCTGCAAACGATAAAGTCCATCGCTGTCATCACGTGAGAAGCCCAGGTGTGACATGCTGCAGTCCGTGGCCTTGATTTCCTGCAGGTGTGAAGTCAGTCCAGGCTCGGCACCGTGCCAGCGCTCCACTCTCAGCCACCTCACTGCCCGACCATGCAAATCTTCTCTGGTGGCTGATCAAAGGCCCAGAGAGCTGCACCCAGAGAGTCATCTGATCCACACTGGTTGTGAGATCAAGTCCATAATGTCAGGGATCAGTACACCCAGGGAATTGTCCTCAGCCGCAGTGCTTTCTTTCTCATCTCGCCCTCGTCTATTGTGACTACTTTGGTCCTGACAAAGATGTGGGATTACTTTGGAAGCACAAACAGTTCTCAGAAATGAGAAATAAAGCCAGGAGTCTAAGTCTATGATATCGTTTTCTCATGATCTGATACTATGGAGAAGTTCTGTAAATGTTAAAGCTTGATGGGAGTCGTGCCAGCTGATAATGACATGCTGTTTTGTTTCACGACCTCTAAACGTTGAAATATGTATTTTTAGTTCATCCTTCTTGGCTCAGTTAAGAGAGCAGCGATCCAAACATGTCTGTAAAAGAAATATGCAGCTGTTTGTTTATGGAAGAGCAGCTAAATTCTTGCTGAAACCGCCATATATTCCTGGCTGGAATTAGATTGTTTGGAAACATGATTTTTTTGGGGACCAATATATGTCACAGGAAATGTATTATAATTGCATTTATTCCTACCTCGTGTTTATATTGTTTTTTCATTTTCCTCCCCAAAGTAAGGGAAACATGGCAGCCGCATGTATAAACCTTCACCGAATGAGTTTCATCCTTCAAACAGACGGTAAAACGCAGATCGAAGGGAATATTTAGGGAGCACTGCATGCATTCTGCTTTGATGCGAAGCCATCGCTCACGGCCACAGACGGTCGCGCAAATCTCGTTAGTGCAAACAAGCCAATGGTTTTGAAAACAAACGCTCCGCTTTATCCCAGTGGAATGTGCAAGCTATGGAAATATGGAAAAACATGGCTGACCCCCCTATTTGCTGTCTGTACAATGCATTTACAAAGAGCAACAGAGCTGGCTTTGTGCACATCACAACAGTTTTCCTTTATTTTCCATCCACAGGTTTGTAGCTTGTGAGCGTTCTGGGGGAACGAGCCTCACACTGATACCTTTGTACTCTGTGGTTTTGACAGAAGCATGTCACCTGTGATTTGTTGGATGTTTTCCCTCGGGGGGTTACTCTAGACTGACCCCCCCTCTTTCCCCGCCAGCGACACAGTTGTCAGTGGGGCTGTTGCCACAGCTGTGTCCTGTCTAGCTGACACTTGGAGAGGGCCAGTGGACAGTTTCCCAGCTGACTGGGCTGACTGGGTGAAGGAGCTGCTGATAAAATCTGCAAAGATCACAGCTTTGTCTTCAGAGGACCTCCCCTCCTCCACTAGCCCACCCAGTCGCAACGAAGAAAGCGGCCGTGCGTCCAAATATTTGCTCTCTGCCAGCAGACTATTTGGAAGAGGGTTTTCTGAGCACGATGACATGTTTTCCCGACTGTTTCTCACCATGTCATCTGCGCATAGTTACTGTATGACTGTTCTTATGGTATTTACATTCCAGTATAAGTAAACTGAACCACAAAGGGTGTTATGTAATTAAAGCATCCACATAATTTAAGCAAAGCGGTCATTTAAAGCTAAAAGCTGTTTATTTGTGGCTTTTTTCATTTTTCTCAGTTCTATATGTAGGATTCTGATTATATCCCATTTACCCAAACCCTGCTTCATGCTTTTGCTTTTTCGCTCTCGAGCCATCGACTAACTTCTTCCTCTTCCCTGTTTCTATTCTCTGCAACAGGACTGCAGTGTTTATGAGATGGAAGAAAGGATCCTGGAAGTTGTGAGTACTCTGCATCTCTTTGCAAACAAAGAACTGACCTGGAAGTTCCAGTATTGTGGGGAATGGGCCTTTAAGTCTTTTTAATTGGGCATTGTGTCAGACTTGCTTTCAGCAGCAAGGTCAGATTTTTGAGTGAATAGAGCAGGCGGGTGTACAAGAAGACCAGAGGAGGAGGAGGTGGGTCTAATATGGCCCTGCCATCAATCAGTGTTTCCTGTTGTTGACACTCTCCAGACTCTGTGGGCTAACACTGGGCTTCCTCTACCATTTTCTATCTTTCTTTGAAATTCATTTTACAGACGTCTTTGTTTAAAAGCTTTTTTCTTCACTTTTCTTTCATTGCTCCTCTTTGTCACCTGCTTTTTTTTTCTATTCTTTATTTGGCACGAGTCCGATTTATTTTTATTTCTTGCCCTTATACTCCTCAAGATCAACTCTACATAAAGTATATACGATAAAACCCTCTAATGATGAGAAATTATAGTATTTGCCATTAAGCAAGAAAGGAACATAGAAGAGGTGTGTTTAAAGGACTGATTTCAGTCCTATGCGTTGAGGTCGCTCCACTTAAAAGCACACTAATGGCCCCTCGCAGAGCATTAAACCTCACAGTAGTGAGGTTAATGTCAGGCACACAGGTCTTTGCATATAGTATGAATAGGAGGAATGTAACCTAACTGCCAGTTCTAACCTGTAAAACACACAATAACTTGATCTTTGGATGATTAAGTGCAGCACTTGTGATCACAGCGAGAGGTTTATTAAAGTCTTGTGCTTATTATTTTGACCACTGAGGCATTTTGTTTGGCGTTCTCTTCTGCAGTCAAAGATTTTGAACACCATCTGTGATCAGACCGTGAGAACCACCTCTGACCCCCTGATGAGCCAGTCGGCTTGTTTGGAAGAAGTCCAGTTGACCAACATCAATCCAGGCGAGGGTCTGGTGAGGAATGATTCTTGAACATTTTTTTGTTTTCCTCTTTTTTTTTGAACCTCGAACTTGTGGTCGGCTGCTTGGGTTGTCTGTCTGGGAATGTATTCGATGTGTGAACTGGTAATACGCTGTTATCCACCATTTTTCTTTTCTTTTTAAACCCAGGGAATGTACATCAAGTCTACTTATGATGGGTTGCATGTCATCACTGGAACCACAGAACATGTAAGTAGGACAGGAGCCAATTTTATCCAGTTTCAGTGCTGAAATTCATTCATTCGCTGCCAGTACTCTTAAACAAGCTTTTGTAAGTTTCATCCTCCTCCTCTTCATCCTCCTCTCATCATGTGAGGGAGTTCAGAGCTGCTCATGTGCAAAGGGGATAGTTTCTTTCGGCACTCCACACAAACAAGTTTTACCTTTTCACCACACTTACACACTCAGTCAGTGACTAACACACGTGCATCACAGCCACCGTTGGATCCTCACGCCTCCAGTCCCCACTCCTGAATCACAACCTGAATCATCGTTTATAATGACCAGTTTATCTCGTTTGGCATCTTCGTGACATGAAAAACAATTCTGCTGATAGTCACACACACTGAGAGGCTTTTTCTCACGATTCTGATCTTTGAGTGTTCATCTGGTGCAGAAATCAGCCACGAGTGGTACCAGAGCGCCGCCCAGTTTCCACAGCATTTTGAGAATAGTTCAATAAAAGCGATCTATCTGGTTTTGACCTTGGCTGTTTATGTATTATGTTTAGTCGCCCGCAGACCTGACGAGGAAGATCCACGCTGGGGACGAGGTGATCCAGGTCAACCATCAGACTGTGGTAAGAATCCCAGATTGTGTGGGAAGTTAAATACATACTGGAAATCTTTAATCAAAAGCACGAGCATCATGTGCGTTCGCTTCCTGTTAACCAGGTGGGCTGGCAGCTGAAAAACCTGGTTTTTAAACTGAGGGAGGACCCTAAAGGTGTGGTTCTACTCCTGAAGAAGAGGCCCACGGGCACAACAGGTTTCACCCCCGCCCCACTGAAGAACATGCGCTGGAAGCCCCCAGTACCTCAGGTACATGCACACATGCATGCACGCTTCCTTTCATCATTGTCTCGTCTAATCATTGTCAAACAATTACCAGCTTTTTAGGGAGTTGGTTCCAAAGCAGCAAGTCCAGACAGGGCCACCCTGAAAGAGTGCTGCTGGCTCAAGTGAATATAGCATTCAGCTTTTCTTGCACAACAAAAGAGGCAAACAAAGTCCCAGGATGTTATTCAGTCTATGAGATAAAGCTTCCGAGCTTTAGTGTTTCAGAATGGTTAGTTTATTAGACGGCCCAACGTCATGGTTTAAAGCAAACAACAGACACACAATCATTTGTTTGTGTTAAAGAAAGCTTAAAGGGAAATGGGATAAATATCGAGCCTGTGAGGGAATGTGTGAGCTGATTCATAATCAAATGAACACATTACGCTAAATTAGGTGAGTCCCCACTGACAGAGGGGGAGGCTGCAAGCCTGTCATAAACGTAGATACCAAGACTGAAGCTCTGGCACCGCGTCATCGTGTGCGCAGCCTCTTTTATAGCCGGAGAAGACAGGATGAGATTATATCAGTTAGGAGTGGGTTTCTCAAATCAACGAAAGAGGCTCTGTGCACAAAGGTGACCAATGTCTACACATCCACCAGCATCTTCTTTTAACACGGAGCCAGGCCCATCGGAGCCAGGCCCATCGGAGCCAGGCCCATCGGAGCCAGGCCCATCGGAGCCAGGCCCATCAGAGCCAGGCGTCTCAGTTTATTTGCGATAGCAAGGCTCCGAAGAGCCAAACAGAGACAAATCATACGGTGTGACTCGAGAATGAATGACACTGGTTTTGTAATAGTATATAATTTGTACTATTTGAGCTATTTGGAGAAGCGCAGAGAGCAGTGTTTCACGAGATCCCCAGTCGGATGTTTAGTTTGCCATATATCACATTTACAATGCTGTATCAGCAGATGTGTAATTTTTCCCTGATGAGAATAGCAGAGTAACACTCAAGGACGATGTTGGGGAAACATAACTGTGGTGAGTGACTCAGGCTATTTTGGACTACACTCAGAATCTTTCCATACCTCAAACAAGAAGGCCCGACATACAGGAACTTAAATGTCTCACCACATCTGGGAAACTCCTCCCGTTAGCCAGCAAGTCAGATTAAGTCTTAATTTAAGGCTGAGAAAAAAAAAACCTATTAGCCGAAACAGTAATTAGCAGAAACACAAACTGATCTGTACATGCAGTCAGATAAGGTGGAATGAGAAGACTTTATTCTCCAGATTAGATCAGGCACTCATGCTTGTGTTGTATTCTTTCAGAATAATTCGTCCCTCGTTAGAACCCAGTCTCCTTCCAGTTCAGCTAATGGATCAACCAAAAAGGAGAAGCCGGCTATCCTGGACTTGTACATCCCACCTCCTCCTCTAATGCCGTACACGCCGCGGTAAGCCATCCTGTTTCATGTGCATCGATTATTAATTTACTGGAAACTTCAGCTCTAAAAGTAGTAAAGTACTAAAACAAGAAGGCTGGAGGCCACCTGCTCCCCCCCGCTGTGAGGGATTCAGACACCCCCAGTCAACCTTTTCTACAGCCTAACTCAGAGCTTTAAAGCTGATGAATAATGAGTGTGGTCCCGCCTCGTGATCACTTTACCTCGCACCTCCTCCTGCTGCACTTTCTCTTCTGCTGGTCTTCAGCCCACTCCGCTCCCACCCGTCCGTACACTACGACTGTTTTATCCTCCACCTCCTCATGCTGTGGAGATAAGTTAATGAACATTTGTTCCTCCGTCCAGAGAGGCGAGAACAGACGCCTTCTCCAGCATCAGTAAAAGACCAAAGGGCTCTGAGTCACCTAACTCCTTCCTGGACAAGGAGAGCAGAGGACACTGCACCGATTTTGACAAGCAAAGCGCCGGCTGTCCCATCGAAGCAAAGGTGGTCCAGCCCAGAATGAGGGAGCATAAACCCTCGCGTGGTCAGTACTTTCTCATCGCAGTGGTTTAGAAATATTCCTCTGACGGAAACTCAGAAAATGTGTTTTCAGAACAATTAACAAGCATGAAACTTTTGTCTACAGGTAAGCCCCGGCCGCTGTCCATGCCTGCAGACACCTGTCTGTCAGTGGTTGATCCTTACGCAAAGCCCTGGGCGCAGGGAAGGAAAGGTGTGTGCAACTTATCATTTAAATTTATTGACTCACATTTGGAGGCAGCCTCAAGTGGCCACTAGTGGAACTACACTTTATCGCACATCATTATTTTTTCAGCCCATTAAGTTGCTGCTTAGTTAATTTCAATAAGAAAACAAGTCAAATATTTAAAAAAGATTTGCAAAGCATTTTTAGAGACTTTAGAATAACCTGTCATTGTGTCTTTGCTTTAGGTGAGGACCTCCTGTACAGATACCTGAGTAACGAGAGGATCCCCACCATTGCTGAGGAGGTCCCCTCGGTGTCTCCACCCTACAGGCCTGCAGGGGAACGGCATCTCATCCGAGTGGACCACATCCGGGGCAGCCGCTACTACTCCAACTCAGACCTCCACAACAGTGCCACCATCCCCTACCAGGAAGACACGAAAAAGGCTCCGGTAGCTCCCGTCTCCAAGCGCACGACGGCAGAGCGCTCACTACTGGTCAGTTGGATCACGCGGCTTAAGCTATTGACTCACTGATGATGCGCTTCCTGTCCGGGGCTTCCTGTTCCTGTCTTGTCTTCCTCAGTGCCTTTGACATTTAACGTCCTCGGGCTTTCTCACACTCCTCTCTCCCATACCTCCCTGGTGTTACTACTACTACCAACTACAACTGCTACTCCTCAACCAAACCTGCTTTTGTAGTACTCACTACATTAAGTCATCGCTCCTTTAACACAACCCTCATCTCTGACACAAGCCTCAGCATCAAGAGGACACAGTTGTGTTCAGATTTAGGCTTTTTTGGGCCTCGTTTGCTGTACATGGACATCTCTGTACATATCATGTAATGTTTCGGCTAAGATGTTCTTCACGTCGCTTATTTAATACACTGAAACTCTCGACCAGTTCGGTTCTCTGTTTATTTGCTTTTCATTTGCATAAATAAGTTATTAAAAAAGAATAAGTTAGACAAGCAGCACATGTCTGTTAGCGAGGCTGTTTTTCTTGTCATGTTGCTTTTTTTCTTTTTTTAAACAAATTCATTTTTGTGATTGCTTACATTAACTTCTGCCAATGGTTGCCTCTTGTAAAGCTATGCATACGATTTTTACTGTCACTTTAGTGGAAAAATGCTGCATTGGTTGTTAAAGGTGTTTATCTTGTCACTAGCAAACATTTGTGCATGATTTAAGGCTATGCACTCAACTCAGTAAACCTTTATAACCTGTGTTTCAGCTCAAGCACCCATCTAAAGGGCCTCTATATACAGCTGGTTGACAGTAAACTGGTCTTTTATGCCAGTGTTTTTGAACAGTGGCAGAATGACGGCATTATTTAAGAAGCCACAGGGAATGAGTGTCTGTTGTTGCTTTATCTGCCTTTTGTAAGATTTGAATAGCGATTTATTAAAAACTGCAGTTTATTTCAGCCAATTTTTGTATTGTCTTTATTTTACTGGTGCGTGTGGAGTGGCTGCTAAACGTCTCACTGTAATATGCATCTTCTCCTGCAACCCTGCTGAGCTCCGTTCAGCCTCAGTTTATACACTTTAAATGGCATGTTTGGTTGTAAAAATATATATATATATTAATTTCCACGCCAGGACCAAACTGTAGAGCCAGCTGTCTTTCTAACCTGCTTTGACCTTTGAGGTGAACCTGGCCTCAGTGCAACAGGATAGCTAACGTGAAGTTACCTTTTGTTGGTGTCAGATGGCGATGGTTATGTAACCACTTCCCTCTTTGAACTTTTGATTCCAGCTGGGGAGCCATATGGTCAAAGCAGGTTTTTCCACTGGGGCATCTCTTTTCTGGCACATATGTTGCCTTTTAAACATTAAAACAGCAGGTTAGGATTACCTTACTTGATGGCTTTTGCCACTTTCATTGATTTTAAAGCGTTTTCCTGGGACTGATCATCAGCTTTCGTCGAGAAGGTGAAGCTCTGACAGCCACGAAGAACTCCCGCCTCTCTGACCTCTCTCTTTGCCCATGTTTTCACCATGCATGCATTTACTGATTGAGAGGAGCCTGTCTTCTTATCTCTCTTTCACTTCTTCCTCCTAAAATCTTGCTCTGCCCAAGCTTGCTGAGCTGTAGTCGCCTGCGGTCCTCACTAATTTGCACTTTCTGAGACGCTGTGGTCTGCCTAAGTACTACCTGCGCTCTGTTTATCCCACTGCATAAGTTTGCTAACCACTAACATTTTATGCCTACACATCACAAATGGTTACAAGGGAACGATGTGCTGAAGTATTTCTAGTTTGTGCATGTCACAAAACAAAAATAAAAATTCTGCCTTTGTTATATAATTGCATTCTTTTTATTAACTCTAAAATCACAATTACTTGTTTTTGTTCTCCGTTTGTTTTTCCTATTCTTGCCAGAATCATTTATTTTACTGCAAAGCTTACCAAGCAAATATTGTAGATTTCCTTAATCCATGCATAATTTAGTGCCCTGCAAGAACGCAGCACACAGATCTTCAGTCACTTTAAAGAAAATCATTAAAGGAATATTAATCAACATAGAGCGTCTCAACATTCAGATTGAGGCTTTGAGAACACATGCGTTAACTTAAAAATCTTTATTTATCACAGGGATCCAGCTGGCACTCTAGCAGTGACTTCCTCAACCGGTGAGTTCCCTTCCCTCTTTCTCCTACACACACACACACACACACACACACACACACACACACACACACAACACACACACAACACACACACACACACACACACACACACACACACACACACACACACACACAGTCTGCTCATGGTCAAAGGTCTGTGACATCTTAAATAAATTAGTTGCAAAGTGAGGGTAAAATACTTCCGTTTTAGTGGAAATGATCATTTTGTGTGGCTCCCTTGTGGTGGACATGTTGTCCTGCACGATGATGCAGTGTATGTGCTGCTACAGCTGTAATAGGACTGGCTTTGCATTTCATACACCATATGTCATTCACACATTATCACAGAAGCGCTTTTATCTTCACCTTTCACATTGATGATACATCTGAGAGCAACTTGGAGCTGCGTGACCTGCTGAGGATGCTTTTTTACCAACCTTCTGATTAGTAGATGACCTGCTCCCCTGAGCCACCTAACAATCATGTAGCAGTCACACCTGTCCAGCGTGTCCCCTTCTCTCCCCCAGTGTCAGCCGTGGCAGGCTTCAGCTACTCTTCAGCTCTGAATTGAAAAAGCGATTTAGAAATAAACGTCTGCAGAGACTCTTCCAATCACAGCCATCACAGTTTTACAGACCTTACTTCTTACATTGTTACTGTCACTTTCTTAAAGCAGTCTTGGATAAATGTTAGCCCGTGCTTTATGAAGTGCAGCCCACAATGTGGAATGGTTTGATGGGCGCTTCTTACGTACAACATTTTTCCCACCACAACTGCAAGACTCAGATCCAGAGGCTGTGTTGTGTGCAGGCAGTATACCAGCTGACTGCTCTCTAAATATTTATAACATGTCATAGGGCAGTGAACAAATTTCCTACATTGTCACTACTAAACTACTCTCCAAATACCCCCAAACCCTCACTTTTGGGGTCTTTTGCCCATCTTAATATTTTCCTTTTTTTGTCCGTCTCTGAAAATTCTTTTCTTTGCAAATCTTCCTGGAAGTTGTTTCTTCACTGTTGGCCTGTGAGCAGACAGTTTCCCAAATCTTAAACTTTGACACACTATTTCTGTCGCTCAGTTGTTCACTGGGCACTCTCACTTCTGTTTTGCGTGCACTTTTGTGTGTTGCACAAACTGTTGCACCCCATAGAATAGCCTTAGTTTCTCAAACCATGAATCATCTGGCTATTTTAAGACAAAAAGCAAGCACACAACAGCTAATGCTCCAGATTTTCAACTAGCCAAATGAATTATTTGGAGGAGAGATGGTTACTGAAAAAGGGACCTCCTCATACTATGTCTATATATGAATATACCCCGGAAATTATTGTCATTTACAAATAAAGGCCAAATTATTAGTCTTCCAATGAAATCTAAAGTTTTCGTCTAACAGAGTAAGGGGTTTTCAGCACAGCATTTCTACACATACTATTTGCAGGCGTGGTACATGGGATGCCATCAACCGCTTCCTTTTAGACTATTTGTGTCTATATAGGTTTATATGTTGCAGACCCACTTCTGATTTCTACACATACTAGTTTACTTTAGAAAGCATAGGTAGCATCTTAGCATCCTGTAAAACTGACTTTTTTATTGAGCATCACAAACAAACCATCCACTGCTGAGCAATGATTATAATTATTTTCTAATTTACACACAGTATAAAAACTTCAGTAAGGATTTGATCTGTGTCATGAGAAAGCATCGTGGCAAAACCAGCGAAATCCGTTTAGTTTAGATGCTCACAAAGCAGGAGATGGATATACAAAGTTATCACAGATTTTCCAAGTGTGGACAACTGGAGTGTAAAGTATTATCAAGAGCCACAGAGTGCAGAACAAGCCTCACAGACTTAACCAAGTCGGGAACTGTAGTCACGAGAACCCTGCGGGGAGGGTGAGGTATCAGAGAAATGCCACTTCTGCACAGGAGGCAACGTAAAGCCAGACTGAAAGTGTCTAAGTACAACCTGGAGAACGATTATGCAAACTGGCTCCCCGGTAGAGAACTACCTCCAAAGTGAAGGCTACTGCTGTGGCTGATGGGTAGTTGGTAAAACAGAAGGTTAATTACAGAGATTGATAAACGTCCTCTGCAAAGCATTAGTCATTTCTATCGATACAACGTGACTTTTTCCATTATTGAAGTTCCTTAATTAATTTAGAGCTTATAATGAAACTGAAAGAGTATTTGTGGCCTATTTTTTTTTTTAAACATAGTTCTGTCTCAGCACCTCAGCATCCAACATGTCCCACACAGCAATGTGTCCATCCACCCCCAAGATCCCCCAGAGATCTTTAGAAATGTCACTGTTATGACGAATGCTAAATCCGCTTCCAACTATAAATAACTCCATCCCACTACCAAATATGATGACATATGAGGACTGCTGTTCCCTCTCCTCATGCGTTGCCCATAGATCTCTTCTTGTCTTGGACGCAGGGCCTGGGGAAGTGTGACTCCCCACATTAACACCCCAATAGATGACTAAACGCCTTGCACCCCACCCCCAGCCCGGTGCTTCTATTCTAAGAGCCGCACACAAGCGCACTGCATCCGGTCTATTGCACGCTTGATCAAAAACATTACTCACAATTAGGATATATAGACAGATGCTATTGTAAATCTCATAGATACGTAGTTGACTCATCGCTGGTGGCGGTTATGAACATGTGCCACTGATGCAGGGAAAGGAATTTGATTGACAGCGGATTTAATCGTGTGTCATATTAATTTTAGGCTAGTCAATCTGTAAAAACAAGAGGGGGGGTTTTCTCACGGTGAGGCGAGGAATGTAACGGTGCATCAGATTTCTCTTTGTCATCTATTAAAACCATTTTTTAAAACAATCTTTATCATCATCTTTTTTAATAATCTGAGAGGGAGGAAAACAAAAATGCAATTAAAGGGGAAGGACAGCAAGCCTTAATCCATTTCACAGCCTACAAAACACACTGGCTTAGGCCCAGCAGAGGGCAATTCAATATTGAGAACAGTCAGAACATTGGGAGCGACCTTCTTCTCCAGCATGCTCCTGTGACTGGTCTCCAAATGTATTATCAGAAGCACTCACAAATAAATCCCAACCCGTAAGTGTCTGCTTTTGCTTTGCCAAATCAGAGTCAGATTGGAACACAGATAAAGATAATGAGCAGTTAGCTGGGAAGCAATAAGTATGTGTTGGAAATGTTCAAAATACACTGTGGTAATGTGAGATGAATCTCTTTGGTGTATGATATAAGTCTGCTGGAAAGCACTGCTCGACATCAGTGCATGTGGTGTGTTTTCAGTTATTAATGTGTTGGCTTTCGTGTCTCTCGCTTGTTCTTACAGGTATAATCATCCACATTTACGATCGTGGTCCTTTTCTCAAGCAGTAAGTAAATAACAATCAGCTCCTCTCACTGAAAAAATGAAGTGCATGCACCTGAATGATGTGTGTTTGTGAGGAATAGCCTGGACAAAGAGGCGCTGAAAATCGAGAGCTTCAATGATTGACCTGTTACACTGCACACAAAGCTTAGTCTGCACTGCAAAGCTCTTTGTTTTTTATTAATATGGATGAATCTTTCTAAGTGTCTCGATTTTTCCTGCATCTTAAATTTGACATTTGGGATAGGAAATAATATTCAAAAAGTGTATTTTACGTAAAACTTGGTGAAGACATTTATGTTGGGGATAAATCGTGTCCTTGACAGGTTAATTTTTTATTAAACTACAAAATCCTAAATTAAAATTTGTGCTAAATCTCTAAACTAACGTGGTACAGATCATCTTTATGTGTTAGCAGTATCACTTTGCAGAAGACTGCATCTCTTCGTTCTCTGTTGAATGTGCTGTTAGTAGAAAATTGATCGTGCACCTTCTAGCTTTAGCATTTGTGGAAATGAGATGACTGCAGGGGTTAACTGAGGACGCACACAGTGAAACCACACACCCCAGTACCACGGGTTACTGTCAATCCTCCACAGGGGTAAGATGGCTGGACACAGGGAGTCGTGGACCAATCACATTTGTGCACATTTATGCTCTGACTACAAGTTGTTGCTGCACAACCTCAGCCGTGCTGTCAGCGCTGATGCAGGCGTGGTACATGGGATGCCATCAACCGCTTCCTTTTAGACTATTTGTGTCTATATAGGTTTATATGTTGCAGACCAACTTCTGATTTAAGTTCTTTCAGTCTTGAATTCAGAGCTTTGTGCACCAAAATCAAAATTCAGGACATGATCAGCGGCAACTGCACAGTCACCAACAGCCGGCGAGGAGCATGCAGCGCCATCAAACTGAGCGAATCTGATATCATCTCCAACCACTGCACCCTTCCCCCTTTACACTGTGTGAGAGTCCCCTGGTAAATAATAGCCACTCTGTTTGACCCCCCCTTTCTGTCTCACACACAGTTTCTGGGTGGGGGTAAGTAAGTGCCATGACAATTCTCAGCACGGATCATGATGGGAGATTGAGTTGGTGTGACCAATCAGCACTCCCTTGAATCCTTTGACATGAGTCGCAGGCCAGATTATCTCACTTCCACCAACACATAGCTCCAGTAGAATGCACAGAAATGAGACGGGCGTGAATTATCATGAGCTATTAAGTTTAGCTCATGATAAGGGGCAGCACGGTGGTTAGCACTGTTGCTTCACAGCAAGAAGGTCCTGAGTTCAATTCCACCATCAGGCCGGGGTCTTTCTGTGTGGAGTTTGCATGTTCTCCCCGTGTTTGCGTGGGTTCTCTCCGGGTACTCCGGCTTCCTCCCACCGTCCAAAGACATGCAGCTTGTGGGGATAGGTTAATTGGTTAATCCAAATTGCCACTAGGTGTGAATGTGCGAGTGAATGTGAGTGTGAATGGTTGTCTGTCCCTATGTGTTAGCCCTGCGACAGACTGGCGACCTGTCCAGGGTGTACCCCGCCTTTCGCCCTATGACAGCTGGGATAGGCTCCAGCGCCCCCCGCGACCCTGAAAAGGATAAGCGGAAGCGGATGGATGGATATTAAGTTTAGTTCAGCACGTTTAATTGAAATATTAAAGGCTTCTGCGAGGTTTAGGGGCAAATCGAGGAAGTCACTTGATACAGATGAGAAAGATAGGGTGACAGCGAAGCAAAGAGGAAGCCACAAGCCTGCGCGAATGTGAGCGAGATAAAGAAAGAAGGCCTCCTCGTCACTTCACACCACTTTCTACTGTACAATGGCAAGTGGAAAGAAATACGAGGCCCCTGTCTATTTAGGCTTAGTAAAAATGGAGACTATAATAACGCAGGACTCAGGAATGTGTCTGCTGGTTTACCGCCAAACGTGGCCCAGAACATCCAAGCCTCTGCACAGATACAGCTCAGGCAGTGATGCTGTGGCTAAAAACTCGCTCCCCACTGAGGCAGCGAAGGGTGTTGATAGCCATGGAACAGCTTCCCTAAGCAACGAGTGGATGGGTGTAAACTGAACCGCTTATATTTCTCATTCTTCTTGCAGGCGGTTGTTGGTGATTTTTATCAACTTCTCTTAAAGTAATAAAATTAAATAAAAAGTGCTTTGTAAGCATCAGTGCGGACTTCCTCTGCATTCACCACATGTGAAATGCTGCTTTTCATACTCAGCGTGAGTTACTGTGAATGTCACAGCTGTTTGAAACAATGATACAATGATGTGTTTTGAATTACGCAGGCAAGTCTGTGGAACAGTCCCGTCTACATTTTACGCGTCAAGTACAACAACAGCTGTAAAGACAAATGTGTGTGTTGGGTAAAAATGATGCTTTTATGACGCTCTCACTGAGGTTCCAAGGCTGTTACACAGTTGGGATTTAGCGACACCCTGCGGTCAGGTGGGGTAACTGCGAAGACGAATGGATTTTACTGAATTTAATGAATGAATGAAAGATGCGTGGGGAAAGTGGGGGGAAACATGAAATGCGAAATATTAGCCCTGTAGTTATATCTGAATTATTGGGGGGGGAGTCAAAAATATTTGTCACTTTGTCAGTTTCAGTTTGGGTGGTGCCTTCTTTGGAGGGTAACGCCCAGACAGGACCTGAACTCACCTGAAACCAGCCGGCGTCTCTTTGAACGTGCTCTTTGGCTTTCTGCGTATGTTCCTGACATGTTTGGCAAAGTTTGGTCAACCTTTGAGCAAAGGTTTCGAGACAGACTACTTTCTCTGAGGTTATGGTGGAAGGTACAGTGTTTGTTTTACTGGCAGCTCGGACTAATTCATTTGTCCGCAGGCTTCTTTGACTTTGTTTCGCCATTAAGCTACTGGACAACAAGCAGTCAGGCTACTGCTGAACTACACTCAGTAGTTACAGTCAGAAAATCGTTATTTAACATTTAACCAAATTTGTCTTAAACTTCGCAAAATAGTCCTAATAGTATGAAAAGTATTTGGTTGTAAACACGTCACTTTCCCCTCTATTCTTTGTGAATGTCATTTCATTGTAAGACGCAGATTTTTTTTCGCTCTTTTGAAATTGTAGGTATTTGTTTCAGGTAGTGGTCGAGAAATTGCGTCATTCTTTTTCTCCCGAAAGCTTACTTTCAGAAGCAAAATCTTATTTTCAGGTGAAGTGTCAACTTCCTCCTTTAATGGTGATATAAAAGAGCATCTTACATACAGAGAGAATATTTCATTTTTCATCTCTTGCTGCATCTAACCTCAAAGAATAGTTGCGTAAATCTGCAGATAGGTTTGTTCAGTCTGGATCTTGCCACTAAAATTACACATGGTTCTTAACATGTGCAAAAGAGAAAACTCCAAGAGGAAGTTAGTTACTAAACACAGGCAGGCAGTCACTCTCAGTCAGGTTTGGGCAGTGGTTTGTGTGGTGATAGGCATCTACCTCCTACACTCAGCCTCTCAGCTCTGACACCCGGAAAGCAAAGTGATGATACATTTGTGTTGTGCAAGGCACAAATGTACAGAAGTATTGATGAGAGCTTCTAGTGATGGTTTATTATCACTGTCAGAGGCACAGAGGATACTTAGCTGTTTGGACGAACCTTTTAAAGAACCAGGTATGAGTCTTTCTCTCTTCATTGTTCTAGCTGGGGACTTTGGCGAGCTCTGGTAAGTGGCTAAACTTGGACAGCTGCAGCAGGGCTCAGGACCCTGTGAACAACTCGCCGCCTGGTTTTGCCACCGAGTCTAAAAATGCCTGTGGGTTACACGTTTCAGAGTACTCTGAAACGTGTAACCCACAGTGTAGATTCTCATTTTCTCTAATTTCACACCCAGTGGGGCAGCACGGTGCTTAGTTTTGTCTCTGATGTTCTTTCTCTCTAACAGTTTTGGCATTTCAAAAAAAGGAACTTAACCTAGAGGAAGTTGGTCAATAAAGGCAACTTAGATTTCACAACGTTACTGTCCATTTATGAGCTTGAACTGCAAAGTGAGAAAAATCTTTCTGATTCTTTGTTAGATTTTTGCACGATGTCGTTTTGCAGAAGAGTCCTTTTCATTTTGCTGTGAGACAACTTTCTGTGTGTGTCACATATTAAACAAATCTGCTGACACTGATCATTGTGACACTTGTGCTGTGACTCAGTGCTGATCATGAGCATTAACTTTTTACGTTTTTAACCTTTCTCTGAGCTTCTGCTTCCACAGAACTTCTGCTGTTTCTGAGCATGTTCGATTCAGTTTTTTCCATCCTCTGAAAAACAAAACAACAATAAGAAAGAGAGAAAAAAAGCTGATTGGGAAACATTGTCTTTGCTGTACCCGTGACGCCACATCCTTTTGTCACACTGAAGAAATTTTTTTCTCCTTTTCTGCTCATTTCTGTTTTTCTTTTTTTCAACCTGCACATTTTGAATAAGGTGTTTCTTTCAACAGGCTGCCTTCCCCATATCCGTGACTCCTTCAATGGCTGCCGATGACTACAACCCTGTAAGTAGCTCTTTTTTTGTCTTTTTCTAACATTTACTCGCTCTCTCTTTAAAGGATTAGAAACTTCTGCTTCCCTATTTATCAGTAACTAATTTGAATGTAAGCAGTATACACCCAGAGTTTAGACACCACCAGGTGGATGTTTTGTTTGACTCACTGGGGAGCAAAGAGAGTTACAAATAAAAGGAGACCAATAAGAAACAAGTCACAGATGCTAATGGAGGTGTTAAACAGCATGTAGAAAGATAGAGAAAATGCACATGACACTCAGTGTGAAAACAGGATGTTTCAGACAGCCTCTTCTTCTCAGTTGTGTGGTCTGAAACTGCTGCTCACCCCCTTGCCTTTTTCTTTTTGACCTCCCCCAACCCCTCCTCTGCACTCCTCTCAAAGGTCTCCCTCCGACACAAATCCAAGAAGAAGAGCCGAGGAGGTGAGTCCTGCCTTATCACCTTGTCACTTATCTCAGCCTACAGCTGCAATTAGAAAGCGTAGTGGGTGGATGCAAAGCAGCGGTGCACTTGGTGTGTGCAGAGGGATTTTAGACGAGTTCAGTTACTTTCACTTCACTTCTTTTATTTCTTGGCTCTGTGTAGCCGTGCCTTTGGGTTCTTCTGAGACGCTAACTAATTTGTATATATACTGTTTTTGCTGACTGACTCATATCGGTAACGGGTAGGATGAAGGTAGAATAGCATTTTTGATTTGACTCTTCCAGGATGCTTCACGCGCTTCTTAGTTTTAGAGGTCCATTTGGTTATCGACCAAACTCCGGGAGCTCTTTAGACTGAAATGGAAACGTTTTGGTTGTTTGTGTTTGGATGTTTAAATCTGTAACGTTCTGCTTCCTCTGATGCTGTGACTAAATGCGCTGTTGTCTGGTTAAGGCAATGGTACGATGAGCAGAAGACGGATCTCAGTCAAAGAGCTCGGCCAGCCAGACCACCAGGGCTGGCTGTACAGGAAGAAAGAAAGCAAAGGCTTTCTGGGTATGAAATGGAAGAAGTACTGGTTTGTGCTGAAGAAGACTGCTCTCTACTGGTATACCAACCAGCTGGTGAGTAAAACACCCTCTGACTAGAAGACTAATGTGGGTTTTAGACTAGCTGGTTGCTATTTAGAGATTGCACACAGCGAGTGTACAATTGCGCAATCCCCGATAACAAAAATATTTAACACAGATAAGTCTGCTTCTCTATATCAGTTGCATGCTTTTCAACTTTTTCAATTTATCTTGCAAGATTATAAGATATAATGTAATGATGAGAATTATATCAAAAGAGAGAGGAAAAAATAAGGAAGCTATTAAAGTTGCACCTCTTTCTTTTGGTTTTCCACCACTCTTTGGAATATTTTGTGTGTCATCCTATCTGTGTTGCCCTTTTTAAAGAGTATCTTGCATATCTTCTTTATTTTTGCTAATTTCAGGAAAAGTTACAAAGTACAACAGTGTTACACCCAAGTCATCAAAAAAACGCCTTAAAAGAATCTTAAAACTGTCTGATGATCTTTTTTTTTAATCATCATAAAATAGTTAAAAATAATCGGGGTAGTTCTTGAGAACTTGTATCAGCTGCAGATTAAGTGCTGTAATCACTCTTTACAGCAGCAGGATGGTGGCACATACACAATGTGTACTTTAGTTTTTGACTGAACATGTAATCCAGTGATTGATGTGGCTTCATGTGTTTTTATTTGCTTTTATGCTTTTTTGTCTCACGCTAACAATAGCAAAAGATGAAACATGACTAAATTTTATTACAGCTTAAGTAACAGACCACAGAATTAACACTGGGTGAGTCACAGATGTGCGCTAGGCAGTCAGGGCTGCAGGTTAGTCATACTGGTTTCCTCCACAGCTGTCTCCTTGCCAGTCTGTCACTGCAGGAACCAGCGAGCGCTGGTGACACTGCGCTTCCTGAATGTGACCGTGTCACTAATAGCCCGCTGCTACATATATGTCTAATCTACATCTGTTTGACTTACTGGCACGATAACTTCAGTCAGACCTGCTGTACGTCACCACCACTCAGTACGAGGAAATTAAAGAAGTTGCCTGTTGCAATTCAGACGCGCTCGTCCGTGTGGGGAAGTGGTTTGAAAGTTGTGTTCTAATACTCACTGTTGTTCAATCTGTGCGTTGCAGGCAGAAAAAGCTGAAGGCTACATCGACCTCACAAACTTCATGATCGACAGAGCCATCGAGTGCAAGAAGAAATAGTGAGTCCTCACAAACAGTGCTGGGTGTGATCTATGAAATCACAGTTATAACAGTAAAACTGTCTTTTTTTCTTTTTTTAACCCTCGAAACACTAAACTGCTGTTCGTCTGTCTTTCCCTATTCAGTGCATTCAAAGCTTGTCACCCGCAAGTTATGATGTTTTATTTTGCTGCCGAGAGCTACGAGGACATGAACTTGTGAGTCATGTCAACTAAAACAGTGTTTGGAAATGTATACATTTTATGTGCATTATAATATTTTATCAGAATTGCAATTAAGTTGGATCATTTCTTTGTTTCAGGTGGGTGAATAAGCTTGGGCTGGCCTCCATTCAGTATGAGCAAACAGAAGTAAACGCTTCGGCCGGTGAGCACCTGTTTCAGTTCCCCGCCTCTGTCACTGAAGCTTTCGAACATCTCACTTTGTTTGGGTTTTAGTTCAAGAAATTTACTATTTAAGTTTTTAATCAGCAACGGAATCTTTTGTTTTTAATTGTCATATAGCTCTTCAGTACTTTTCAAGCAAACATGCCCACTTCAGCCCTGTGTGGGGTTACTATGGGCAGACCAATATGAAATGTATGGCACACCTGGGCCCCACAGATTTTTACAGCAGATGCTCATCCTGGCACAACCCTCAGGGAATCTATATCTCTCACTCTCAAACCACTTGATCCTTAGATCAGATAAACTGTACTACACTGTGGATCCACTTGCTCTCAGAGGAGAAAAATGAAACACTAAAGTCTTATTAAACCAAATATGGCCTGTTATAGCTTTCACTCATTGACTTCTTTTGCAGTGTAACCCCAGTTTAACTTCCGTTGTACTGAGGTTTTGAACCAGCCACTTTCTCTCAGCCTCATATTTCTGACAGTGTAATAAAACATGTTCTATGGTTGTCTCTTCTCCACAATATATTGTCTTTTTTGATGCTTCCTTATCATAAATAATTTTTCAGCAAACATGCCCGTGTGGGCCCACAGTGTCTAAATGTGGAGCTGTGTGGGCAAGGCAAGCCCAAACTAATCCCACCTAGATCCTGCTGCAGTTTTGCCGTTCGGGGTCCCTGTAAGACAACTGTTGGTTGCCCACAAAGTTCCCTCTCGGGGGCCCAAAAAGAGCAAAACTGCTGTAAGCCCCACGTGGGCTTACCCACAGAAAACCCATGTAAGGTCCCCAAAGGGCACAACTGCAGCAGGATCTAGGTGGGCACGCCCACTTGGGGTAAGTGTGGGTTTACAGCCCCACAGTTCACCAACAACTACCCACTGTGGGGCCCCACAGGCATTTTTCCTGGGTTACATTTGTTGGTTACATGTTTGAAGTTTTTGTTTCTTGTGTGTCTCCATGTTTCATGTTCAGAGTGTTATAGTGAAGCCAGTGATCACGAAGAAGCTGAAACCACAGAGATACCTCCTCCACCGTACTCTGAACAGACCCTGCGGGACTCCTCGAATGCCTCCGGTCCGCCTGGTAGCACACATCAGGTCAGTAACGGTTCTGGCTGGACGCACATCCATCCATAAGAGCCAACATTTATCTTTTCATTTAATATAAGCTCATTTTGAATTTGATGCACATCTGTGAAGGCATCTGCAAACCTGTACAGGTTCTGGAGAAACATGCTACCATCAAGCACGTTGCTGGATGCTTGCTTATTTCAGCAAGAAGATGCCATGCTACTTTGAGAACATTAGAATGAATCTGTACTAAGTGAGGTCACAGTAATAAACAGCCTGAATGCAGTCAATGCAGCCAAATTCAAAATGAGCATATAACTGCAGTTTAATTGTTAATGTTCAGCAAAGATTTACATTCTGTTTAGATTAAACACACGGTCACAACTTTTGCAAAGGCAGCTGTGTCTTTAAGGGACACTACATGTTTTATTACAAGTAAATAAAACCAAGTGGAACCAAATGGGATTAATTAATAGAAAAAACTCTTAACTTAAATGTATTTGTATTTCAGGGTACCCTTCCTCCCCCTTACTCCTCTGCAGTCCCCAGCGAAGCTAACGGTTCGCTCTCCTCACCTGTCAGTACGATCACATCTCAGAGCTCCGCCTCTTCGCTCACCAAGCAAAGACAGTCCTGGTTGGACCTCGTCTCGCAGGCATCTCCTTCTGCTGGGGAAACAGCAGTGGTGTGCTCAGCCCAGGTCCACTCGCATCAGCCTCCACAAAAGGAGACGGCAGAGGAAACAAAGCTGGAGAACTTGGCCACCCAGGACTCCTCGGGCACTGAATCTAATGAGGAAACGCCTTCAGCTGAGGGGGAAGATCAGAGGAAAGTTTTAAGGACGCAAAATAAAGGTGAATATTTAATATATGCAGTTTTTTCTCGTGGCCCACTTCCAGCTCTAAGAAGCAGAGCACGTTTCCTGTTTCTCAGAACTTTGATTAGCATCAGTGATCAACAGAATATACGACTGTTAACATTCTTATTCCTTTTCTGAGCTTTCTATCTGTGACTAATCTAATTGACTCACCTGCATGCCATTTGAATTAATTTAGCAGGCATTTACTCAATGCAACCACTGCATGTAGGATGATGATGATGATGATGATGAAGTGTGTTGTCTTGTTGCAGGCAATCATGAGAACGGCTCCGATGAGATGGAGAAGCTGTATATTCACCTGAAGGAGGCCAGTCTGTCGCCGATAGGAGAACGTAAACCATCCACGAAAAAGGAATTTAGGACCTCCTTCGTAAGACGCTGCAAAAACCAGGCTGTCAATGACAAGCTGCACCTTATCAGGACACTCAACAGCACATTAAAGGTACATTTCTCACCTCCCTTTTTAGTTTTTAGTTTTTTAGTTTGCGAATAGCAAAAAAATACAGTTAAATAATTTATGCATATTCAATTTTTCACTTTTTTTGCCCAGGCAAAAGAGGCGGACTTGCAGGCAATAGAACAGATCCTGTCTGACCCGGAGCTTACCTCAGACAAGTTCAGAGAGTGGAAGGAGGCCAACGGACCTCTGGTGCAGGAGATCTGTGTCACACACATCCAGCAGGTGGCGTCAGAGGCCGCAAAGGCTGAAGCGTCGGTCATAGCCGCTCCTGTGGTAGAGACCAGTTTATAAAGACTCTTCATGACTTTTTATGGTGTTCGGACTCTGAGGACCTCACAGTCACATACATCAAATACACACACGCGCGCACACACACACACACACATACTGCTGTTGGTTATTCACTTGAGAACTCTGTTTATGTTCAAGTTCTTTTCAACTAGTAGTTGGATGAATGAACTGTTGTTTTTAGTTCCATGTGGAGACGGTGTATGATAAGCAGCACACATTAAAATGTGAAATGTGTCGTAGTATTATTTTTATTGTTTAATTTGTAGGTTTAGCAATTTTTACAGCTGTTTGTTTTTATAATTTTATGAACCTATGTATAAACTGTATATTTGGAACGGTGGAGTGCATGGAAATAATGTCTCCGTTGTTCTCTGCATGGAAACACTTTGAATTTATCTGTAGTGAATTTTGTTGTTTTTAAACTATTCACAGTCAGTTATTGGTGCCATGCACCTTCAGTGCCTGTTACACATGTGTTACAGAAGCTTTTTCAATAATGTGTGTATGTTGTCGCCCTAGAAATACTATATTCATGCTTATTAGGAAGACTTTGCTGACTGAACACTAGGGCCTGCACTAACAGAATAAATGTTGGTCTCAAATCAGAATTTCTTCTTTTTTAATACTCAAAAGTGTCAAATTCATGTGACTGTAATGTAATTTACTGCTGAAATGTAGCGATCGCCTCGTTTTTTGTGGAAGATTTTTTTTTTTTAAATCTTCTAAACCAAAACAAACTTTTTAAATTATTTCAGCTACACTGATTTTTTTTTTTTTGTCATTTCTGCCCATGAACATTGACAGTATGAGACAAAATCTTGTCTAAAATGTGACAGACTTTATAACTGATAACATCTGTGCATACAGTATATTGAAGTAAAGTGGGGATTTAGCAGTATTAAGGATAACTCTCAGGAAAACTCTCCTGGAATCATACAAACAAGTCTGAAAGACCTGGTATAAGTTAGATAAGTGGATGGTTATAAATAAATTCAGACATTATGTGACTGCACAGTAGGTTTGGACACCTCAGGCCGAACAGGATTTTAATATATGACAGGACCTACCAGAATACAGAGGCATTTTCCCCCTTATGTATCATCTGTTGCATAAGTTAAAAAAAATGTAAATAATTGTGAAGGGATGTGTAATGTTTGTTCTTAATTCTGGAATGAATGTGTTTGTTTGTATACAGGGAAATAAAGTCAGAAAAGTGAACTTTCCCAGCCTCTCTGTATGATTCCTGTAGTGAGTGTCACCACTGATACCCATGTGTTCCACAGGTTTTATAATGTACTGCTTCAGGTGCTCTTTTTTAAGGGTCGTGTCACAGCTAATCATCTACCTCCATCTCACCCTATCTGCAGCATTCTGTCATACTAAACATGTCCTGCTTCATCCATATATTTTCTCTGTGGTCTTCCTCTTCTCCTCCTGCCTGGCAGCTCCATCCTCGGCATCCTTTGTCCAACTTGACCACTTTCTCTCCTCTTCAAAGCATCATCGGTTGAAACCATTTCAGCCATGCATCCCCAACTTTGTCTCCAAACCGCCCAACCTGTCCCCCTGATGCACTAACCGAATCTTCTCCACTGTGGTCAGTCACAATGAAAATCTTAACACCTCCAGTTCAGCCTCGTGTCTTTCTGTCAGTGCCACCGTCACCACACATCATATCAGGTCTCATTATACACCAACATTCCGTCTGATACGACTCGTTGACGCTAGGAGTCGCCGGTTTCTCTCCACATTCCCCGCTGAGGTTATGCGCCATATTGGCAGTCTCCTCCATCTCAGCAAGCGTCGGGCATGCACGCCTCTAACCGGTTATCGAGGAGACGTTTGTAAATATTTACTGTGGTCTGCCAGTCGAAATACAACACTATGGAGGCGGTCAAAGCCTTTAACAATGAGGTTTGTAAGAGATTCTCGCTAAAAGATTTGAGTATATTGAGGATATGTTGTCTAATTCACAGTCGCGGTAGCTAGTCGGCTAACGTTAGCATCTTAGTAAAGAAGAGGGTAGTGTTTGGCAAGGCCGCTGTTTCTGCACAGCAGTGCAGCGGTAACGTAAAGTCAGTGAGTGTACTTCGTATAAACTGGCCACACATCATGCAAGAAGAGAGTTAATTTGTTAGTACAGCCCTAATCAGGGTTAAATTCTGTGAACAAATATAACCCAGCGGCTGCCAGTAGCGCTAAATAGCTAGCTCGCTAGCTAGCTCCAAATTAGCAAAACCGCTTGAGCTAACTATCTGATGTGACCATGGGCAGAGTAGCGCTCATTCACCTGGGAAAGAAACAACAAATGATTGTGAATCAGTACTTTCCAAATTACAGTTAGCTTCCCGGTATATGCAACCTAAACAATGTGAAGTAGCAGCGCATATCCACACTGTTAAGTTTAGCCTTAGCTATCTGAAGCCTCCAAGCGGAGATCGCAGCCGTCATTTGTCTACATAACACGAAGTCTTTGCTTTAGCATGATGATCATTGTAAATAACACCTGCATTTAATCCTAGTAAAAAATCAATCCGCTGTCGACCGCAATCGAATTGTGAGTGTTTGTTTTAATGACGATACTAACGCAAATACCTGAGTCAGAGGCAAGCCCCCGACGTCGCTTTATTGTGAACTTGGGGTCTCTCTGAGCCCCATGATAGCGAAAGCCAAGGTTCTTTAAATTGTTAATAAAAGTTTGTAGTTGGTGAAGGGGGGTACTCATTTAGAAAGCTATTGGGTGGCAGTTTACGGTTCTTATAGGATCACTTCAGTATTTAAACAAGCTGTTCTCTGTCTTTTTCCTTTCATATTTCAGCTGTACTCATTGAATGAATACAAGCCCCCCATCTCCAAGGCCAAGATGACTCAGATCACCAAGTCTGGAATAAAGGCTATAAAAGTAAGTATGCAGTGTTATAGGATGAGGCAGGTAATAGAGGAATAAAGACATGATTATTAAAGAGAACTGTTCCTTGGCTCCCAATGAATATAAACATATGCATGGTCTAGCAACCAACATTATTCTAGTTTTGTTGAGTTGCTCCTACAGTAGAATAGACCTCAAGTAATTTTTAAATCTCAATTTAGGTCACAGCCCACTAGAGTTGTGGTATGTTAATGTTATCCAGTATGAAGATGGTAAAGAAAATGTGGGACCAAAATTGAACTTTTACTCTCAGCTCATCTTCAGTCACATTCTGGTTTGGTCTTTAAATCAAGCATCCAAAACAATATGTGGTTATTGGTATTTAAAGGAATAAAGATGAAAATATAAATGTTGACTTTTACTACAATGGCAGTGCAGGTGGTTGTATGCCCTTTGGCTTAACACACGTAAGACCTCCAATTCTAGACAAAAGGAAACATAATACATTTGTGCGTAGGAACAGCATGTGGAGTAAAATATACCAAATCAAATATGCTGTAATGACCACGTGTGAATAAGGGAGCAGCCAAAAGAAGCTGCTTTAAAAAAAAAAAAAATCTTATGCTAATCTTATGCTGTTTACTGGATAAACTACAAAGGAATGTAGGGTTATATAAACTCAACAGCAGTGTGTGCAACTCATCTGCTCTGCTGTAAAACTGTGTGGTGTTTGCATAACTTTTAATAATAGAACAGTTTAATAAAAGCCCAGGAAAGCTGAATTACCTAAGAATTAAAAAATATATGAGGTGTTGCTCTTCTGCTACCTTTTATGGTTTCTCATCAGCCTTCAAGCAATAAACAATTTTTTTTTAATTGATTTTTTTTCATGCAATAGAAATGACTTTATTGATTTATATGTGTGGGAAATATGACGATTAGAGGGGTGCAGTGAGACTGAAGTACCTCGCTAGCCAAACATCCCAGTTGAACAGGGAGTTTCAGCAAAGTCGAACACCAATCAAATCTATAGGTTTTTATCAATTTATGTAGTTTTCTTATAGTATATTTCTAATCAGACATTTGTTTGTTATGTGTTGAACATTGGTAAAGTTAACATTTTGAGTGTATGGAAAGTAACTGAACCCAGTGATGTTGAGTTATTCTGTTTTCAAAAACAGGTCATGTATCACATCACACTGAGGTTTTTTTGCCTGCTTCAGTTAATGTCTGCATATCAACGTTGCCTGTTACTGCACAAAGTTCATTTATGTGCTAGGCTGTTAGTAAATAACATTTTCAAGCTTGAAGAGACATTTTTCACCATCTGTATTTATAAGTCTCTTCGTTTTAGGTATAGAAGTTTTTTTTTTAATAAAACTGACTTTTCATTGTGTAAAAGGCAAAGATGTTAGTAACAAGTATAACAGTAGCTTCATTCCTGAGCAGTGAGCCAGCGTGCACAGTGCCAGAAACTCGGGAATTAAAGTAACAGTCATTATTTTTATTTATATAAGTCTGCTTTGTTATTTTAACATATGAGATAACTGTTTTATTGCTGTTATTTGAAATCATGGCTGAATTCACAAACTGATAACAGATTTCTTTTATACATTGGAAATTCTACACACGTTATTGTGAATACAAAGTTTTTAAAAGGCTGCATTTGATCAGTTTTTACATATATTAACACATCAGCAGCCAACAGCAGTGCACAGCGGCTTTAGCACTTCTTGTGGTCTGAAAAATATAGATGGGATGCCTTGAGTAAATCGGTTATAATTCTAAATAAAACAGATGTTAGACATAAAACATTAAGGTAAATGTATTAGGTGCCAACAGCGTATTAAGCCACATTCAGACTACGGCAGCTTGCCACTGTGACATCATTTAAAATGAGCGTTTTAGCCTTTGTTATCTTACGGGTTTAAAACCCAAAATGATGAATGAGGAGAGCAGGACCTGACTGTGAACCTGTGAACTTTCTCATTGGCCAACAACTTGCCAATCACACGTTTAGTATACCCTGGTTGTGTCATATAATCTCCAGATTTTACTGATTGTGCTAAATATTCTGGAGCAAATTCGCCCCTTCTGCTGGCTTTGATTGATCTGTGGTCTGATGCATCACTCGGTCAAGGCTCTACAAATGCCTAATCTGACCACTGTAACAGATTTAGACTGATCCCAGTATAAACCAGTCCTATTGGAGTCTTTTGTGTATTTTACACAATTACAACAAACAGAACAATCTTCAGTCAGCAGTTTGTGTTGCGTGAGCATCAAATAAGGTGTGGACGATTTTAAAAAGAATACAGCTTCACATCATCTGCCTTATTAGTTTGGTTTTTGGTCATTATTTTCCTATGATGTAGCACCATAACTGCAAATCCTCTGATTAAAAATGATACGCAACCAGTTGTTATTCTGACCTGATTATGTTCAGTGGTACATGTGTAAAAGCTGCAGTACTTGTTTTTTTAATTTTTGTTTGCAATATTCATATCTCATAATAACAAGTGCCGAGTGTTATAATTAGGCTGAAATTAAATTTGATAAAGATAGAGCTGGTTATTAATCTGGCTAAATTAAAGGATACATGGCAGTGAATTTGTTTTGGGAGGCGTTTCTGCCCACTGAGACTGAGCTTGAATACTTTTCCATATGTGGGAAACAGTGTAATGTTGTCATGGAAATAGTGAGTTACATTGCGGGATGCAACCAAATTAGCTTTTTAAATATATCTTACTGCTGTCTGATTTTGAATCTATGGACAACTTCCTAGAATGACTTTGATGGAGGAAAAATAAAATCCTACAGTGAGTTCCGACCTCCGCTTTTATTTTGTAGTTTTTTCTGATTTTGAAAATAAAGTGTAGACACATGCGTAGCTGTATAGTTGTTAGCTGTTATAGTGTTGAAAGTAGTTGGCGCCATTTCTGTTCTTGCGTGCTGTTAAATGCTTTAAGCTCTTGTACTTGACTATTATTAGTTTAGCTGAATTTGTAACTAGTTCTAACGTCACAAAATGAACAAATAGCAATAAAAGTCTCACCCTGCTTACTCAACAGTAACTGTGCGTCCTCATGTTGCAGGTGGACCGTTATATTTTAGTAGTTTTGCATGTTGGTTCCTGTTTACAGGTCTGTCAGTGTATCATAAACACATGATGATTCATGGGGATAAATGGGCCTTAACACATGGCATGTAGCCAATACACAGCAAAATCTGTGTCTTAAAAACCCAAGCAGAAAATGAGACTCTACATCTGGAGAAATTTTAGTAGTAAAAAAAATCAGTTGAAACCCAAAGAAATGCTGCTGGTTTTTTTTAAATTAAATTTTATTACTTAATTTTATATATAGATGATTTATAAAAGGTGAAGGTCATTTTTACTTTTCAAAGTGGGCAAAAAAGTGTTTTCCCAGAACGGTGCTTTTTATTATGCATGCTTGGCTGGTATCCTGCACACTTTGCCTATAATTCGGGGGTCTTTTGCATCGCTGATCATTAGTCACTAACAAATTCTCCTTAGACTTCATTGCTTAAAGTTGTTCTTATTATGAAATACTCAAGGACCAAAACACAGTTTCCTTCTTTATAAAATGACAGTTATTTTTTTAGTCATTTGAATTCTGGGCCTGACACTTTGAGTTCAGGACACCAGCCTTTAACAAAAGTCCTCTCATGTTATATTTCTTTGTCCTGTTTGCACTCTAAAGGAACTGCTCTTCTTGTGGTGTTTCTATGCCTTGTGTTACCTGTGAATAACACCCGTTTCCCCTTCCCTCAGCAGCTCTCCCAGCTCCCCCAAAGCACTGAAAGTGAAGCAGGAGGATGGGGTGGAGAGAGTTACAAAGAGATAAGAGAATCCCTAACCAGCTTAGGTAGGAGTATGGGTTGTTTCACAAGGAAGATGGAAGAAGACTAAAATAATTTAACTGAATTTGTTCCCACACACCCAGAGATGCACAGCTTTTGCTGTTCTGGTTGTCTTGCGTTGGTCGATGTTGGCTTTGAACTCTTGTTTTTCAAATTGAAGTTGCAGTCTTGTTGATTTTCTTCATGAGTTATTTGAAGATATTTGTGTTTGGTGCAGTTAATTAAAGTCAGTCTTCTGTGTTGCTTCATGTTGGATGGAGCTGGAGCGGAAATGTGTTAGCTTTGGGTTTAAGATGCCGTCAGTGACTTATTAAATGTTGAGTATACAGTTAACTGCATGAGTCCTTTAACATTAAATATACACGTTTAGTGCTTTTATCTCCAGCAATACTCAGATTTGCATGTCAAGACTAAGTTTTTATTAGAATCTTATATTTATTTCATTGAAGCTTGAGGTTTGTCTGGTTCACAGTTTAAAAATTGTAAATCCATGTTTTGGCAAAGCAGTCGTAATTGATGTCTTTTGTACACGCAGGAAGTTTGCCTTTTTCATGATACCGTGTAAAATAACTGAGAAATCCAGTTGAATCTACATATTTCAGATGGTGATTTGAATGAAAGGTTGGGGCTGTTGCTTCTTGTTGAGTCGTGCTCAGATGGAGGAAAGCTTAGAGAGCTTAAACTAAATTGATGATGGCGCTTCAGTGCTGGAGCTGATCCGTAGGATAGGACGGCACATGATTTTAGAAGTTTCTCTGTAACGTTGCTGATCATTTCAAAACAGCCAACATACGTGATAAACAAAAATAATAAATGGAAAACGATGCATATGTGACCAGCCGGGATGGTGCAACAAAGCATCTGACATTACATCTCAGATGCTTTGTTATCATGTTACCCATTCAGCACAAATTTCTAAGAGACTGATGTCCACAGGCAGCAGTTTTTATGCTGCCATTCAAAATGAATGAAGATTCTAAAAGTAATTTTCATTCATAGCCAGATTAGAAATGGTCTTTTTAGTCACTGCCAGAGTTAGATTACTCTCTGCTATTATTTAGAGTAGATATCTATAAGAGGAATGAACAGCAGTGCTACAGAAACTTAGCATCTTCCAACCCAGTGCACTTCAAGTGTTTTTGTACAAAGGA